CACATCCCAAATATAATTTGTATTTTTTTGCAGAAACTTTTCCAGCAGGCCAAGTAATAGTTTGTGGACTAGCTTAAAGATAACCTGACCGGTTAATACTTTCAGAAACAACTAGAAACTTGTTTTACCCATAATATCGCAGTTCTCGTGTAGAATGCTTATCTGAAAGTTCCAACCGCATTATTGCCGCAGCATTGGTCATAATTTCTCTTTAAATGATTGTTGATAATCAAACCAAGTTCGCTAGAAAGATTCTGTCTCAATCATTATGCATTGAAATTCCGTAATGTTTTTTGTTTTCAGTCAAAATGCTCTAGTCAAGAAAGGTTGCACCAGTTACCACATATCCCCACTACTGAGGACATCCGAATATTAACTCATCATTTCTCCAGCAATGAAAGCAACCCGTCTTTACCTAGTGGCGAAGAGAACACTGCTAGCCATCGTTCACCACTACATAGACCTAGATCTCGAAGTCTCAGGTAAACTTTCAGTAATAATGTTTTTATACAGTGATTCACAAAATTAACGGATAATTTCTATGATTTTGATGGATAGATCTCGAATACTTTCACCATCAATGCTGGGGTTCCCCAGGGATCCATATTGTCTCCAACTCTCTTTTTATTGTGTATCAACAACGTATTGGTTAAAACCAAGAATCCAATATATTGCTTTGCTGACGACAGCACACTTGTCTCGTCATTCCGTATGGATTCCAGGACATCGGCTACGGAGGCACATCTTCACCGGCAGCAGGAGATTGCATATCTTAATGAGGATCTAGAAGTGATCTCAAATTGGGGTGAAAGTAATCTGGTTTGATTCAATGCCACAAAAACCCAGGCATCGGTTTTCTCCAAAAAGATGAATGTCTCCGAATAATGTCAGGTCAGACAATTCCGCTTTCTGCTTCGATAAGTTTGTTGGAGGTTAAAATGGACACCAATATGTCTTGGCACAATCATGTCGCTGGAATTGCAAAGGATGCTTCTCAAAAGCTTGGAACACTGTTCCGAACCAGAAAACTGCACACCTCAGCAACTTTTGATGATCAGACCTTCTTTGGAGTATTGTTCTTATGTATGGAGATCTGCCCCCAAACATACCCTGAAGTTGCTGGTTTCCGTCCAGAAAAGAGCCATCCGCCTGATTGGAGACGCGAACATCACGTGCAACCTTGATAGCCTGGAACATGGAAGAAAGGTTGGAGATGTGTCTCCCTTCTATAGATACTTTCACGGGAAGTGTTCAAGTGACTTGGCACATTTGATTCTACCAAGAGCGGTACATATAAAAAATACGAGACGGACTGTGGATGTTCATCGTTTTGAGGTTCAACTCAGTACACCTCGAAATTCACTGTTTGTGTGGAATAAACTTCCTGAGAACGTTTTTCCAAATTGATTTAATCTCCAGCAATTCAAATCCAATGTGAATCGCTACTTTCGCACAGACACCACTCTTAGCGCGCCTTAAGGATTTTTCTGTAGTGCTTGTGTTTTGTTCTTAAAAAAAAGTGCACGTAAAAATAATTCAGGAAAATGCTTGAATAAGCCAATTTCCATTTTGAAATTTCCAATTGGTCCTGTAATTTTTCGACAGCATCCCGTCCACCCTCAAGGGTGCAATCCTCACTTTAAAATTTTAAATAGCAAGGAACCCTTTGTGATAATTATTCAATTGATGAACTCTTATACTGTATGTAGCAAAGATGTCAATTAATAAATAACGAAGATGTTTACCAAAATGTATTCAAATTAAAGTGCCAAGAATCAAACCGGCGCGGTGTTATTTCAAACATTTATAGCTGATCATACACCAAACTTTTACTTCATCTTTTACTTTAATGATATCGATGAAAAATTGATGAATTGGGTAATTATTCTTACAACATTTTTAAAGAAAAAGTGGCGCATGTGCTGTGGATGTAAATTAGGGTGTTTTGATTCAAAGTGATATTGAATTGCGACAAATTGTTAAAAAAAAAGAAATGGTGAACGTTTGGATATGAAAAAGTAAGTTAAAAAAAATTATTATTTATGTCGGTGTTTCTCTACTTCAAATCCGAGGTCTGTAAAAAAAAATAAGGTAAATGTTCAAATTTCGCGGGCTACGTACATTCGATTGACGTTTTTTTATGTTGGTTCACTCGTATCGAGCATATGTTCACAGTTCCAGCTGTTTAGCATGTTTAGTTTGTTGGTGAGAGGCATAAAAGTTAGAAGTGTTTTGCGTGTTCGGCGATTTTCTGCTATAAAAAAAAATGGTTGAAAGGATTTGCATCAAATTTTGTGTTAAAGTGGAACTGAGTGCTCAAAAACACTTGAAACATACTGTGACATACGGTGATTGTACTCCGAGAGAGAAAAATGTTTATAAGAGGTTAGGTTAGGTTAGGTCCAAAGTGTGTGGGTCTATTCGACCCTCCACCGCAATCCGCAAGGGTTTATTGTGGCTCACACCTATTCACACTCGACCAAATAAACCCAGCTTCTTAACGAAACCGATTAGTTTGTATGGTAAGTGGTATTTCAGGTCAGATGGAAAGGGTGCGGCTCTGCCAGACTCTAATAACCTGATTCGGTCCTCAACGGGGCAGACACAAAGTATGTGCTCTGCTGTTTCATCATTTTTCAAACAGAGGCGACAAACGCTTGCTTCCGACAGTCAAGTCTCTGCATATGATGATTCAAATGACAGTGACCTGTAAGAAGGCCTGTTAGACATCGTAGTTCTTCCGTACTGTAGTCCAACAACTGTTTGGTATCGAGCTTCGAAGGGTGAATAAACGTCATGAAGTGAGCCAGTCCTGGAAGATTCTGCCATCCAGGTTACAAGTGGTACATGCTTTTCACAAAAGGTCGAGGATTTGTGAATGACGACGATTCCCCTGGACGCCCACATCACGCACATCAACAACCGATGAAAATGTTGAGAAAATAAAGAAAATTGTTATGGAGAATCGTTGAATCACTATTAGAGAAGTTGCTGAGGATGTCAGATGTCGGTTGGCTCATGCCATGCAATTTTTTCGGAAATTTTAGGCGGGATGCGTGACAGCGAAGTTCATTCCAAAATTGCTGAACGTTCCAAAAAAAAAACATCGCATAAGCGTCGCTCAGGAATTGTTGAATGGCGTCAAAGGCGATCCAGATTTGCTTGAGAAGGTCATAATTTTTGACAACTCATAGGTGAATGGTTTTGACATCAAAACCAAAGTCCAATCATCCCAATAGAAGAGCCAAAACCAAAAAAAAAGCACGTCAAGTTCGGTCAAATGTTTTGCTCACTGTTCTCTTCGATTATAGTGGCGTAGTGCATGGTCGTACGGTCAATAAGGTGTACTATCTTGAAGTTATGCGCCGCTTGCGAGAAGCAATACGAAGAAAACGTCCGGTATTGTGGAAAAACAATTCCTGGCTTTTTCATAACGATAATGCGTCTACTCACTCGTCATTGCCTGTTCGTAATTTTTTGGCCAAGAACAACACTGTAATCATGCCTCAGCCACCGTATTCACCAGATTTGGCCCCCTGCGACTTTTTACTGTTCCCAAGATTGAAGAGATCCATGAAAGGTGAGTTTTGAGTTTTGCGACAACTGAGGAGATAAAAACTCCTATAATAGCATAATGCCAGTATCAACAAAGAACGGGGTTATGTTACAAATGATATTGACAGTACTGTATTGGTAAACTCTTGTGTAGTCTTTCACGTTAAAGAATCTTCGAAGAATAAGTCCTGCTCCGGGGAAATTTCGTTGAAGTGAAAGAAAAAGTAAATGTTCGGTGTATGAATCAGCCATATGTGGATTTAGTCATGAAAAGGGGAAAAAATAATTTAAGTTGTGTAGATTCATGCATCTGAATTGGGAAAAAATCCACCCGAAACGATACTTTCAAATAAATAAATATGAATATTTCATTATGTGACAACCTCTTCTTCTCATTCAGTATGTACTCCAAACATTCGTTGTGGAATTGAAACAGTTATAAATAGTACACAGGAATGCTGCGTAACATTATATACCCTTTTTTTTTCTGGAGGAGTTGAAGACAAATATTTTCTCCTGAAAATTCGAAGTACACCTCGAGATATAAAATTTTCTATATAAGTGAAATTTCATATCAACATTCTTTCATATATTACGTTTGCAAAGTTCCTGTGAATGATACGTGTTTCAAGTCTGTTACGTATTATTAGTTTTGGATGCATTTTCTCTTCCAGTTTGTCTGCGAAAGAAACTTTGGTGCATGATCTTTATATTTTTGAAGAGTTTCATCAGTGTATATTACAGTCTTCCTTTTTTATGAACATTCCCACTTTTTATATATTGACCAAATTGAAAAGTCACAATGTTTTTTCGCATTAAAATCAATTTAATTTTTTTTGTTTGAGTAATATACTGGAATATCATTAAATCAAATGTTGGAATTACTCTTATTTGAATACATCTGCATTATTTATCGACTGATTTTGACAAAGTTTTATTTGTGTCAAGTTAAAAATAATATCAAAGTATCACTCCACTATTCAAATTTTAAAAGTTAGGGTTGCTACCTTGTTAGGACAAAAGGAGAGGTGAAAATTGCATGCCAAATGGCAATTTTAAAATAGAACTCAAACTGTCCGAAAATTTTACTGAAATGTTTTTGTCAATGATTTTATAAAATTCATACTTTACCTTTACTTTTGAGAAACACTGTAATAATTCACCATCAATGTCTGTTGTTTTTTAGTAGTCCCAGTAGATCTCCCATTATCGACAACGAAATATGTATGATGAACGTATTGTATAAGGAACGTTTTCCGAAAGCAACGCAACAAATGGAGGAAAGACTATCACATTTTATTGAGGAAAATAAAACGATCGATTTTGGAACAGAATGCGACTACTTGCCTATAGTTAGGTTTGTTCATCATCAGGTTTTAGAGATAGCTAGAGATTGTTTGCACAAGTCCCAGAGCAAACTCGTTACTAGCCAGTATTTTCATGAAATGTCTGAGAATTTGGAAAGGCTCCTGACGGAGGTAAGAAATCAGCCATCCAATTAACAATTGAAAAAAAAATATAATCAGAGTTCGTATCAAGTTTTTTTTTAAATTTTTACCTTACGCAGACTGAAAAAAGTAAAATTTTGTGTATAAAGGCAGGCTTTTAGTTCACCATTACAGGTTACTGCGTAAATTTCACGAAGAAATATATGCTGTTTATTAGTCACTATTAGTTCATATTTGATAATTTTGCTAAGAGAACTAATTTAACAGGTGCATATCTGAACATTTCGGATACTATGGAATGTGGCGGACTTGCCAGAAAGTTTCAAATGTTTCAAAATTCAGTTGACATCTTTTACATATTTTGTTTCAAAACTTTTTTGACATCTATCGAAGAAATTTGGATATGTCGTGTTGAAAGAAAACACTTTATAATGTGAGATTTGCACCTAACATTTTACAAAACCGCGACACGTGTTTCGATATAGCATCTTCAGGCGTCACAATACTGGCGTCAGACGTCTCTCTATTGTAACGCCTTTAGATGCTATTCTATAGTGAAACACGTGTCGCGGTTTTGTAAACTGTTAGTGAAAATCTCACATTGGAATTTTTTTTAATATGCCATAATGGATTTTCATCAAGTATCGGTCAGTTCTATCATATATTTGGAAATGAGAAGGGTATTGACAGAAAAAACTGTAAATAATGTTTTCTTACTTATGAAGATGGAGGTGTATTTTGGTAATCAAAGATTTATTGCCCCCATTTTACATTCTGGGTACAAAAACAAGGCATCAGTATAAAATTAAAAAAAAATCTAAGAAATTGTTGCAGTAAAAAAAACTTGGTCACTAAGAAGAGTAATACTCTGCTACTGGAAAGTGCAATACTCAAGTCACCAAGTTATGAAATGACTGTTTTTGGTGAAATAAAATGTTTTAGTTATGTGTTTTCATTTCATAATCATAACAACTCCCTTGAAGTATAAAATTTGACCAATGCTTTCTCGTAAAAGTTACATATCTGTGTATAACTAAGATGAAAAGCAAGAATTTATTTTTGTTTGAAGGAATTACTACATAATTGGCTGTAGTTGGGATTGAATATGTCTATAATAATTCCTCTTCAAGTTAGAATAATTATGATATATGATATTTTGTAGTGTAGGCAAAGTAAAGACCTGTTTATTATTAGTCTGGTTAAGATTTCAGTTGAAAAATTACATAAAATGTTATGTTCACGTTGGAACATAAGTGAGATGTAGTTCAGGTGCAACTTTTGAGTAAAACATGTGCCAAAAAGCTTTGAATGATGTTTTAGGTCAAGTTTGTGTCTATCTTGTTGTATTGAGCAGCTGAGGCCTTTGTTAAAAAACCCACATTCAAACAAACATAAGTATATTCTGTTCAGGTTTTTCTGAAAGAACAGTGTCCAGTGAGTAGCCCTCTAATCATTCTTAGCCGATCTCTGATCTTTTGAAACCGTTCTTCAGTTTTTTCTCAACGGTCCCATTACAATGGTTTTGCCATGTGTTTTTGGGACATATTTTCCCAAAATTCTTCATGTTTCTTATTGACCCATTTCCTTTCGTGATGTGGTCTCATAATATTGATTTTGGTATCCCTCAGCTGGCTCAGAACCCATATATCAGATTATTCATTACATATGATTCCTGAGTGCAGTGGCTGTCTGCTTTTTGGTTAAGGAGAAAAACTGGAATTTTAGAAAATTACTTCCTCAAAAATATTTTTCATTACCTGACCACACGTTGTTTTTTATATCACTTGGTTTTTGAGGTTTCTTTCACTACCTTTGTTGAATAGAACTGACTGATATTTGATGAAAATCCATCTTAAAATATACTATAGTTCAATTCCATGATAGTAGGCGCTAAATTCTCAGAAATATTATTGCATTAAAACGAAAACATTGTTGTCAAGGTTGTGATTCTATATATTTCATTATTATTTTTCCTAATCTTTTTAGTATAACACTGACCTCTGTAAACTGACCTCCCTGTAAATTTAGTTCAGGAGCGAGTCTACAGAGAAGATGGATGTCGAGTTTACGACTCCAACTGACACCTCCCTGTAAATTTAGTTCAGGAGCGAGAGCTTCTCAACTCCCCAAATCCTGATCCAACAACTGAACCTTTAAAAAAAGGTTTGGTGGTGCAACCAGGAAACGACTGAGTCATCTCTTCAAGATCGGGGTACCTTATAAAACTGCCTTGCACCGAATTCTTGATTGATGTACGCAGAATCTGTCTCAGGTGGGGGAACAAACCCCCCGTGAGCAGGTTAGCAAACGTTTGCGCTCAAGTGATGATTCACCAAAACCGGAGTCGAAAAATGCCCTGCACGGCTGAATCTAAGGCATTGTCAGGTGTAGCTGACGTGCAAAAACCCTCATATGGGAAGGTTGTGGGTATCAAGGTGGGAATCTTGCAACTTGACTATCCGATTACCTCTTTAACAGAGCATATACTTTGTGCCTGCCCCGCTGGGGACCGAATCAGGTCTTCAGAGTTAGGCAGAGCCGTACTCTTACTATCTGACCTGAAAGACCACTCACCATACAAACTAATCGGTTTAGTTAAGAAGCTGGATTTATTTGGCCGAGTGTGAATAGGTCTAAGCCACATTAAACCCTTGCGGGTTGCGATGGAGGGTCGAATAGACCTACTCACTTTGGACCTAACCTAACCTGGTATAATTTCCGTACGCCACTACAATAGACAGATTTAGGCACATACGTCTGCCATTTCTGAGAATTTGTTGCCTACATTTTTGGAATTATCAAATTACTGTAAGATTTTTTGTAAAACCTTTTATAGTGTGTAGTAAAACTTTTCATAAAACTCTACTAGTAAGTTTCACTATTTGAGCAGCCATTGTTTCATTGGTATCCTTACTTGGTATATTTCAACCTTTTTTCTTTTATGTTAAACGGTACTGGTGTTTTTTGCAAGTTATTGTGGAAAACCACTATTTGGACACTATCAGACAGTTTTTATTTTCAAGACTTGATTAATACATGGTTTCATCAAAATAACACAAAAGTATTATACAAAGTTTAGTACTCAATATTGGAGGCACTTCGATTCGAGGACCAACAGAGTGTTCGATTTATTTTTTTCATGCTCTTCTCAGCATAAAAATGTGTCGGGACCGATACATCAGATACTTTCTGTGGTCTGCTAACTTTTCCTTTCCTGGCATAATGTTATTATATCCTCGTATTATTGTTTGACAACCTCACGAACTTTCCAAGTCCTATCTTGGGGTATAAGAGGCATGTGGAAAATATTAAACAGAATTGTAGAACGGAACTGGATATTTCCCAAAGTGTCAATTTTAGCTTCTTTTCTTTATTTGGTTTTTACCATTGATATAATTCCGTTAAGCAATAAATTACCCAAAGTATATTCTCATTGATATACTGTTGATGCCAACGCTTTGATAATATAAAACGACCTAACTAATCTGAAGTAAACCGCAGACATTACACGTCAACAGGTAATGACTTGAGCAAATAAAAATCATTTGAAAAACAATAAAACTAAATCAAGCATGCTAATGTTCTCCATGCAGAGTCATCATAAAAAAATGTCTTTATTTGAGAATAATACAAATGAAATACTAATTTAGGAATTTATGCAACAAATAAAGAAGATGTTGCTATGCTTCGAGATTTTTCAACTAGATATACCTTAAGAATGGATGCATTGCCCCCATTTTACATTCTGGGTACAAAAACAAGGCATCAGTATAAAATTAAAAAAAAATCTAAGAAATTGTTGCAGTAAAAAAAACTTGGTCACTAAGAAGAGTAATACTCTGCTACTGGAAAGTGCAATACTCAAGTCACCAAGTTATGAAATGACTGTTTTTGGTGAAATAAAATGTTTTAGTTATGTGTTTTCATTTCATAATCATAACAACTCCCTTGAAGTATAAAATTTGACCAATGCTTTCTCGTAAAAGTTACATATCTGTGTATAACAATAAATAATTATTATTATTCACAATTTTTTTAATCATTTATCCTTTCCAGAGCAGAGAAAAATCTGAGGATGCAGCTAATCTGATGATGAGTTTCATAAAGAAATTACTACTGATAATATCTCGTCCAGCACGTTTGTTGGAGTGTTTAGAATTTGATCCAGAAGAATTTTACCATTTCCTAGAGGCTGCTGAGGGGCAAGTCAAAGGAGTCCAAGGCATCAAAGCAGATATTCCTCAGTATATTATTCAAAAACTCGGCCTGAACAGAGACCCTATCGCTGAACTGCAGCAAGAACTGAAAGAGTGTGCATGGTCAAATGAAAATGCAAAATCAGTATCCGTCAATACGGCACCTACCGTACGAAAGTCTTTAACGAATCCTAGTGAAAACGACTTTGAAGTAGTTAAACTTATTTCCAATGGTGCTTATGGAGTTGTAAATTTAGTCAAACACAAGCACACAAAACTAAGATTTGCCATGAAAAAAATCAACAAAAACAACTTGATGTTACGAAACCAAGTGGAACAGGTATTTGCTGAAAGGGATATACTAAGTTTTGCAGACAACCCGTTTGTTGTCAGCATGTATTGCAGCTTCGAGACAAAAAAGCACTTGTGTCTAGTGATGGAATATGTAGAAGGTGGCGACTGCGCCAGTCTGTTGAAAAATATTGGCCCCCTGCCTGCTGATATGGCTCGATTTTATTTTGCAGAAACAGTCTTAGCCGTCGAGTACTTACATTCTTATGGTATTGTACATAGAGACCTGAAACCAGATAAGTAAGTAGTTATATTGAAACACCAAGACAGTTGGTAATTTTTATTTCTTTCAGTCTGTTGATCACTGCCTTGGGACATATTAAACTGACAGATTTTGGGTTGAGCAAAGTTGGGCTCATGTCATGTAAGTGTTAGGTCTTTGAACTTTGAACTTCAATTGTTGTGGGAAGAATTAAAATTCGTCCTGCACCAGAATTAATTTTAAGGAATCTTTGGTATTATCTAAAAGTGTCTGCATTATTTTGTAGCTGACCTTTTTTTGTTAGCGCACCCAGAGGGGGTATCTGGGCTGCAGCCCCCGTACATACAGAAACAGATATTTCAAAAAATAATATTATTCACTCACTGAAAATTTTATGTTTTCTTTATTATAAAAAAAAATCTGTTTTTCCGTTAATGATATATTAATTATCAAATAAACATAGATCCTGCAGAAGTTCTACAAATCATGACTTTTTCAGCTAGGAAAATGGCTATTTCCATTTTTATCTGTTTTTATTTAATTAGTTTCAGTATAATTTTCGTGATGAATTTTTGTTTTGTTTGTTAAGTTTCATATATTTTATGTATTATTACTCTCCTAGTTTGTTTTCATGTGGAAGGTATTACCTCTCACCTCTCATCAGCAAAGTGCCTGGGACTCGATTAATATCAACGCGACTCGACTGCATGTATGAAACCTTCTTCTAAGATAAAGATTGTTAACTAGTAACACCTTCATCTCTTGAACAAAGCCCCAAGCGTGGAAGAAAAATCCCATGTACCAATACTCTAACAGAGATCAAACCGTGTCTCAGACTGTATCAAAGTTTTTTTAAATCAGTCATCACCACAAATCGTGTATCAAGACTCAAGCGTTTCTCTGCGTTTCTTTTGTAAAAAAACTTCATCAAAATTCAGTCTGAAATAATATTATTACTCCATAAAAATTAGTTTGTAAACAATACTGTAAAATCTGTAAGAAAACTTGAGAAGTGAGTGGGCATTCACATGTACCCGGAATTGTCTCTGATGATGTTTTTCATAACAGAAACGTCCGAAAATAAAAGTTTGTGTGTGATAAATGGCTGCATTTGTTATGATAGTGGGAACTGAAATCAATGAAAAAGAACTAAATGAAACTTTGCATTCAAAATATTATAATTTTATTCCACCCGTTACAGCCTCTCCCAGATTAAAAGCCTGGGTGCGCTCATCTCATTTTCTCTGGTTATTATAATATTTATTACAATACACGAATCTATATCTTAGCTAATTTTTGTTATAAAACCCAAACAAACCTTTTAGTGGCCACAAATTTGTATGAGGGATACATGGATACAGAATCCAGGAAGTTTTCTGACAAGCAAGTATTTGGTACACCAGAGTACATTGCACCAGAGGTGATTTTAAGACAGGGTTATGGCAAGCCTGTTGATTGGTGGTCAATGGGAATAATACTCTATGAATTTCTAATTGGTTGCGTACCGTTTTTTGGAGATACACCTGAGGAACTTTTCGCACATACTGTTCAAGGTAAATATTTTAAACAATATATTCTCATCAGTTTAACGCTTGATTTTCAGATGAGATTGAATGGCCTGTAAATGAGGATTGGCCTGTTCAGGAAGAAGCCAAAGATCTCATTACATCTCTTTTGCAACATTCTCCGAGAGATAGATTAGGAACTGGGGGTGCTCATGAAATCAAAGAACATGTTTACTTTTATGGCATAGACTGGAACTCTTTACTTAGAAAAAAGGCTGAATTCATACCTCAACTCGAACATGATGAAGACACTAGTTATTTTGATAGTGAGTATAGATGCAGTTCTCACGGAGTTTAAACTTCTTTGACTTTACCGTATATGTTTTTGTATTTGGAGGATATTTCTTATGATTTTTTTTGTTAAGGAATATTTTCCCAATATATTTTACATTTTCAAATAATTCAATATTCAGTACTTCATATATCTTCAATATCTCATAATTGGAGAACATATGAAAGTAAAATTTACTAACTTTTGATGAAAATCGATAATGGGAAAAATATCATAAGCGAGAAAAATTGCAATTACTAAATTACTGTTTTTTTACCACTTTTATGAAAGTAGAAAGTTTTATTTCTCAAAGTGCAATATTACAAATTTCACATAACATGATTAATTTGCTTCAAGCTAACCTGGAATGAATCACAAATTTTTTAAAAAATCGTCAGACATTATGCTGATTGGTGCTTTCATGAGTACATTAGTTCTTGGTCGGGATTTAGAAAGTTGAATTGTTTCTGCCTGCAATTTGCGGTACATAGAAATTTAGTTCACATCAACTGGTAATCTGTTCTCTGCTGTGGATATATACCGTCAACTTTAAAAGCCAAATATTTGAGGAACTTTTTCTGCATGTTTTCGATCCTAATAATGGGTGAAGTATAGTGAGGACTCCATATAACGGTACAGTATCCTAACATGAGAAAAATATAATGTCTCCAAGACAACAGTGTTAGTGAAATGTCTGCGATAATGGACTATAAAAGCATAGATTCTAATACATTCTAAATGCTTCCAAGAGTTTAATTTCAATTCATCGAAGAAAACTCAGTTCAGAAGCAAAGACGACCCCTAGATCTTTTATGGAAGTATCTCCTAATAGAGCAGTTCTATTAGGATTATATGAATACTCAAAAGTTATTTGTACACGTTACAATTCTATATTTAGATTCATCAAGCAATAAATTATTAGCCAAGCACCAACCATATACCACATTCAGGTTATTTTGAAGATGCTCACAATCGGTTAACTACAATATTGGTAGATCGAGTTTTAAATCATCTGCATATAGCAATTTTCTAGTATCTAAGTCGATACAAACAATTCAAAAGTAAAGACCCTAGAGTGAAGCCTTGAGGCACTCCAGAATTTGAAACATGGATTGGAATAATGGCCAGTATAAAAAATGAACTGTTGTCGACCTGAAACATCTGGATAAACCAATATGGCTCAGGGTTTTCAACAAAATTCCATTATATATCATATCAAAAGCCTTTGAGACATCAGCATAGATTACATCTATGTGGCCTCCCGAATCAAGAGTATTGGAGTAAGGAAGAAAGGCGGAAACCATCTGAACCAGATGTCACTTTGTTCTTCAACTTTCAGCTAGCTTTAATAATTTGTTCTTGAGTTATATCATTAATAAAAATGGCTCTAATGCATATGCATTTTACATTTGTCAGGCTCCCATGATTGAATGAATATAACCTCAATAAGTTGAAGCAAATTCATTGACAATATCCTGAAGATGTTTTAAACATTATTTACTTATTTTATGTGTTCATTACTCTTACTATAACAATATATTCTTTTGACAGTTCAATTTTTGTTGTTCTAATGACACATGATTAATTTTAAAAAATTGATATTTATACATCATCTGAATAATTTTCAAATATTTTCAAGCATCACTCATTTTATTTTTATTTTGTTGAAAAAGTTGAATTTGAATATTCATTTCAGTGAGAAAAAACTTGAAGTTTTCACTAATTTTCAAACATTTTCAGGTCGAATTGATAGATACTCACATGAACTGGAAGATGATACAGATGACACGGATGATTCTCCAGTATTTGGTTTGTTTTCGTCCTGCTCTCCTCAGTATAAGAAGGTGTCAGAACTTAGTTCCCTAAGTACAGATACTGATCTTGACAGTAGCGCTTTATCTCTCAAAACTAATACATCAGATTCTTCTGTTCCTGATGTGATCAACACTGTAGATTCAAAACCAAAATTGAAGTTGTCTGACAACTTACGTCCTAGGACGACAGAGAAGAAGAAAACCGCCGAAAATAAATTGGTATTTATAACACGAACGTCGTTTGAATAATATTTAATTATTTTTCATGTGTAGGTGTCTTTAGATCTGTCCTGTACAAAAAGTACTCCAGAATCATCACAAACGGACAGTGATGATGTATCCCCTCAAGTGAATAGAAGGAAGAAACCGGGACATGGTCGTGATTTCTTGCCTAAGTTTTCAATATCTGTGGAGGATGAACATTGTGCCGGATCTTCTTTGACTGAAACCCGGGAATTTCCTCTTTTGAGACAATTCAAAACATCGAATTTAGTCAATCATTCTTCCAGGTCTGTTGTAAGAAGTGCCTCCACATCTGGTTTATCACTCATGATTCCAGCAGGTAAAGAGAAATGAATGTTATTAACTAATTTGGGTGTATAAGAAAATAAATTCTCTCAACTTTGCTAACCTTTCGAATTGTCCGTTTATTTCATTTCAGATGATTTGGCAGGGTCAACACATCTGATTCATTCTCCTAGTGCTGGAGGAGGATCTAGCACTGCTAGCTCAAGAGATACCTCACCATGTCGTGAGCTGTCTCCTTTGGGAACAAGTCTAAAGCCGCCCATTATAATTCGCCGAGGTCCCAAAGGATTCGGATTCACTGTTCATACCATTCGAGTTTACTATGGGGATACTGACGTATACACCATGCATCACCTGGTTATGGTAAGTCTTCAGAAAATAATAAAAATATTTATTGGTGTTTTGTTTGTTCACAAGCAAACATTGTACATATGATTTTTTTAATGCTATTTGGGTGCTGTCTGACTTGTCCATTTCTTCCAAGTCTCTGGAAAACAGTCCATTCTGGTGAGCTCTTTCTGTTTTCCCCCATCTTTTTCACAACACTCCTTCCAACAATCTGGTTCCCTATACTAGTTTGTAGGTCCCTTGTCGCATGTTTGTCATCTTTTTCTGGACATAATTGGGATTGTCTTATAAACTACCCTCTTTGTGTGATCCAGTGCCTTACATTCTCATGAGACTTGAAAAGCTGTCTCTGCTCTTTTGTTACGTTCATTTTCTGCAGCTAAGGTCTTCGTTATAACGCCCTGGAGTGTTCAGATATCCTCTCAATGGACGCTGTTCATAAGTAGCTCTGTAATTATTCTGAGCCGATTCCTGCTTTGTTGAAGCAGTTCTTCAGTTCTCTACAGGAAGAAGATTAAAGAGTGTCTCCATGGCAGCTGCTGATGTGGTTTTTATTGCTCCCGTTATTCCCAAACAATCAGGCCTTTGCGTCCTGCTTGGTCTGTGTTATTGGTCGTTTGTTTCATCTTTAGCCACCAAACTGTGAATCTGATTGTGACATAAATTATTTTGTTCAATTTTGTAGGCGGTAGATGAAGGCAGTCCAGCATTTGAAGCAGGTCTAAGACCAGCAGATCTGATAACACATATCAATGGGGAAACTGTTCAAGGTCTTTACCACACTCAAGTTTTGCAACTGCTCTTGAGTGGTGCAGAACATGTTAGTCTGAGAGCAACACCTTTGGAACAAACCTCAATCAAAACTGGAGGACGCAAGAGAGAACCCAGCCAAAGTAAACTGGCAAGACGTAGTTTGAACCGGCAGAAGAAACAAAAGCGAGAAAGTGACAAAAGAAGAAAAACTTCTTTATTCAAAAGAATCAGCAGCAAGAGAGCTAGTGCGGAGATGCAACAGGTAAGTTATTTTTTTACTCATTAATGTTCACAAATGTTTGAAATTCTAATGACAGATATTTTGATTCACCTGTAAATAAACTAAGTATACTATTTGTCATTTGAATCAGTGCACTTTTGCCAACGTTACACAAGTCGAATAATTCTGTCAGTATAAAAATTGCATGCTCGTGATTCGAAGAAGTCGCCGATGCCGTTTTTGCCTGGTCCTGATTGGCAAAGGTTCTACCGATGAGAAATTTATCGAAGTCCTTGAAAAGATTATAGTCAGTTGGCGAGAGTATATAACATCTTTCAAATTATTTCCTCTCAACTGACCCATCAGTTTTATTATGTTCCTATTTTGTTTTAATGTTAGAGAACTATCTATCTTAGAACTTTTTTGTGTTAGTTTGTAGAACTGTTTGCTGATTCAAATTATTTCTCATAGATATCCAATAGCTCCCTCCACTCGCCGGTAGGTGTAACTCCTAGCAGAAGTTTCCAGTCGTTTCCTAGAAGTTCGGACAGTAATTTTTCCACAAGTACTGTAAGAGGCTCGTCAAGCCGCTCTAGTTTATCCACTCCAGAATCTTTTACACAAAGCACGAATCTTTTTTCTGCACAAACCTCGTCATCAGAAAGCCCTTCACCAACAACAGCACCTAGCAGTCGCAATAACAAACAGCACTATCAACGGCCTTCGACTCTGCACGGCCTAAAGCACAAGCTGCATACATCAGGGTGTTCGAAGGCATTACACGCATCCGGACCTACTTGTTCTCCTGCAGTTCCAAATAGGAGGAAGTCTGTGGGGCATATTCCTCTGTCTCCTCTGGCTCGCACTCCATCCCCGTCACCATTACCCGCATCTCCAACAAGATCCCCGAGCCCACTAGCATTTCCTATCGGACACCAGCCAGGAAGTTCTAATACCACCCAGACGTATAGTCCTAGCGCTGGATCGGCTCCCATAGCTATTATCGCTCAGCCTAAGAAAGGATTTGCTCGACCTAAGGCTGGAGAACCTGGCTCACCGCTTCTCAGACGAGCTCTGTCACCTGACAGACTGCATCCTCGCAGTGCAGAGAATAAATGCTCCATTTCACCACTTTGTTCATCATCAGGTACCACTTGCGGACCGAATATGAAGTGTCAAGCGAGAGTTGGGGGAGCTTCGTCAGTTTGGCATCCCAATACTCAACAGGAGAGAGAGAAGGATACCGATTCTGATAGCTCACAGTCTAGCGATTTGGGTAAGTTTTGTCTTCAAAGAAAAATAGGTTTAGTTGTGTTGACTCATATAATTTTATTAAAATGGCCGATCAATATCCTGAAACTGAAAGCAGTGAAATAGACTTCAGTTGTATTAAAAAATCTATAAAAGTGACGTAAGTCTCCAAATACTTTTGTTTGAGAAATTTCTTGTAAATTCCAATTCATTCTAAATTGCGAAATTTTTGGTTTTAACTACAATTTGGCTTAGTTTTTAATACCCCAGAATCCAGTGTTTTATAACATCTAATTTTCCATGTGGTATAACTTTCAACTGAGAAAACTATCAATAAAAAAATACATGAAAGATATAAAGTTACAGGTTACATAAAGCACTATCAGTGACTATCATCAATTTGCTGATCCCCAGAATAGATCTAAAGAACTTCAGAAACAATGCCATTACTCCTATATCAGAAAATTCTAAAATGATATTCCAAATGATTCTCGAAGTTTTTGGGAGTAATGTAACAATGAAAGAAAAGTATATAACTTACTGTCTACCATGTGACTATGATATATTTTTGCAATAGTTGCAATATTGTACAATTAATATTTTTGCAAATTACTTTTCTAATACCTGATGGGGTTTAGGTTACTCAAATTCCACCATACAATCTACATTTATTGATAATTTGTTGAAGGAATATAATTTTCTATAATTATATTTTTAGTCTCTGAATCTATCAGGACCTGGTGAATTACTACCAAGAATTGCAGAGGAGAAAGATTCGCCTACAAATGGCCATGATGCCAAGCTGAAGAAAATTGGGAGCAATCAAGATGAGCAGAAGAACATTGAAGTCCAGGATAGAAAGAACATATTAGGTTGTGTAGTAAAAGCTGCTACAGAAAAAATCGATGACAAACAACCTGCAAAAGATAGCTCTGTAGGTAACAATGGAAAGTTGAAAGCTATGGATGATAAAACCATTAAAATGGAAAATTGTAAGAAAAAATTTAAGCATGATTCAACCTCGAATAAGTCAGAAAACGATCAGACCAGTCAAATTGATGGAGAACGTAATAAAGTTGATAGAGAAGGCAAGACATATGAAGATATTGTCAAGGAGAAAAGTCATAGACCTGCTGATAATGGCGAAGAAACACATAAAACAGATAAAAATAAAATAACAAAGGGAGTTGAAAGTATAAATACGTCCAATAATGATGAGACACTAGGTATAACTGAAGGAACATTGAAATCCAATGAAAATAATGCAACGAAAGTAGATGTATGTAAGACTAAGATTGATAAAGACAAGAAGGTCGCTAGGTGTGAAGAAACAAATAAAGTGATCAAAGAAAAGTCTAAAGGAGATGAGACTAAGGGTAAGCTAGATAAAGACAAAATAAACAAATTTGAAGAAATGAGTGCAGCTGATAAAACTAAAATAAGAGCGGATGATGAAGGAAAGAAACTGAAAAAATCTGAATTCCATTCTTGAAGCTTATTTGGGTACCTATTGATTAACTGACACTCTTATATTAAATTACAGCCGAAGCTACTGAACCCAGAGTCTTGAAATATGCAGGTAGGTTCCTTGTATAGCGTAAATAAGCATCAGGAAAGGGAATCAAGAATTTCCACCCCCCAAGAGGGATAAATAGGGGTTCAAAGATTTTATTGAATTTCGTCAGTTTTGAAGTTATTAACCTGAAGTTTTGGGTTAATAAAAAATATTGTAATTAATTGTTTAAAATGGTCTGTAACGAAACTTAATGTGACAAACAGATAGTAATTTATATTTTTACGTCAAAAATACAATAATTAAAAAAAATGTCGACTGCACTAAGGATTCAATAGCTTCGACAATCGAATTATGTACTTGTGAAGAAATTTCGCAAAACTAACACAACCATCAATGACGTCTGCCCGCATTCGGGTCGCGTTCTCGGCGATGACGCTTCAATGCTTCGACCGCCTCTCTACCCCCGCGCATTGGCTTACAGTAGACGCGACGCGTAATTGCTTACTGCGTTGCGTCAAGTTAGTCTTAATATGATAACTTTTAAACGATTCGTTCAAATTGCGTAGTGAAACACACACAGTTTATCTATATTAAATACTTAAAACGACGACAATTGTATCAATTTTCATAAGAATTTGACAGATATTTTAATATGTGAATTGTAATCCCACGATTTCTCACGGATAACAATATCGGGCAGGGCGGTAAGCTGTAATTAGGAACCTGTAATCCGTAGGAGGCCAACTTTCACGATTTAAATCTTGAACGAGAGGTGGCGCTACATGTGCAAAATTGCGATTCGTATCTTGTGGCTTGTGCAGGGCCGTCGCCATGAGGGGGGGAGCCTTCCCCCCTGCTTTTTCGACTTGAGAAAAAGTTGGGAAATTTAGGGCCGTGAAGATAGAAAAAATAATAATAGAAAACATTATTTTTATAATTACCAAAATTTATTTTTCTTTGTGCATACCCTAACGGGCATAAGCATTCAGCCAATCTTCGGATAGCTAAGTAAGAAAATTAATATATTATAGTAGTAACTAATCCTTCGGCTTTCATTTTTTCGAAAGTTGGTAAATTTTGGTGCTGGGGTTGGGAAAATTCGGATTTTCCCTCCACCTCTGGTTTTTCTTTTCGCTACGGCTCTGGGCTTGTGACAATACTTTCCCGAAAATGATATTAGGTGTACCCGTATAGTCTAGTTCACAAGTGCCATTCCACATGATTTCAGTTCGCCTTCATAAAACATTGTGGTTGAGATATCAGTCGATTCGTAATTTCACATAATTTACGATTTGAGCCAAGTTGCGTTTGAAAGTTATAAACAATAAATTGTTGAGTTAGTAATAGCACGTTCAATTCTGAGGTATATCTTTTCACTCCTATTTCATTAGACTCTCTTGGTGGAATCAAATGTGCCAAGTCACTTGAACACTTCCCGTGAAAGTATCTATAGAAGAGAGACAAATCTCCAACCTTTTTTTCGATATTTCAGGCTATCAAAGTTGCACGTGATGTTCGCGTTACCAGTCAGGCGGATGGCTCTTTTCTGGATGGAATCCAGAAACTTCAGGGTATGTTTGGGGGCAAAGCTCTATGAGAAAAATACTCCAAAGTAGGTCTGATCAAAGATTCATAAACAATAAAAAGTTGCTGAGGTGTGTACAGTTTTCTGGTTCGGAACAGTGTTCCAAGCTTTTGAGAAACAGCCTTTGCAATTCCAGCGACATGATTGTGCCAAGACATATTGGTGTCCATTTTAACCCCCAACAAACTTATCGAAGCAGAAAGGGAATTGTCTGACCTGACATTATATCAGGTTCGGAGGCATTCATCTTCTTGGAGAAAATTGATGCCTGGGTTTTTGTGGCATTGAATTGAACCTGGTTACTTTCACCCTAATTCGAAATAATTTCTAGATCCTCATTAAGATATGCTAAGCGTTCGATGTTTGTCCTAGATTCCTATCTAATTGTTTTATTTGTCAAAATCATAAGATATTCGATTTTGAGAGAATATAGCTAAACTTTGATAATTATTATCAAATGTCTGATATCAGCGATATAGCAGAATCACCAGAAAATACATTATAAAATATTTTGCCTCAAAAATTCAAGAAAGTATATGAAAACTATATTAACGTTTTATGGACTGGCTAAATACAAATAATATTTCGACATTCTCCGAAAATGTTTTGATTGCTTATTTTCAATAGATGATGGAAACTATTGAAAAATATCATGGACACATTATTCAATAATAAAATCGCTGGTAAATATTAACCATAATGCAGACTTTTCTAAATATAAGAGGCTACAAGCTTTACTCCAGTGAAATAAAAAATCACAAATCTTTTTTTATTGAAGTTACTTTAGGAGTCCTCCAAGTATCTCACTAGGGCCCTCTTCTATTTAACCTATTCATTAATGTTATTGGTTATATCTTAATTTTTTGCTTATTGCCGACGATCTTGAGTCCGAAAGTAGATCTGACTGCGAAAAATTCCAGGAAGATCTTATAGCTCTTCATTTATGGTCATCTCGCAATATAATGACTGTCATTTAAAGTTTTCAATGTACCAGTTTTTCCAAGTCCAGATCTATCACAATGAGTCAGATGCAAGCAAAGCATCGCAAATGCTTGATTTTGGTTTTAAGAAATACTGGCAGTTTTTCGGTTATAACTTTAATAAGTCCACGGTAGGATACCGGCTACGACCAATTTTCACTTGCTATCGTTCAACCGGAGTTAGGAATCACACGTTTGAAGGTAATACCTCGTTAGTCCTTAGCTCGCACCAAGATTCGACTTCTGAGAGTCGTTCGAAGGGGTGCGACAGCTGGTTAACGAAAAAAAATTTTTTTTTAACAGGAGTCCATATCTACAATATGCTTCTACAGTTTAGAATCCCTCATGAGTGCATAAACCGCATTCAAAATGAGTTTCTGAACTACATTGCCCTTAGAATAGGGTTCGTCTATGGTAGGTACATATGATCAATTACTAAATGAAGATACTGGAGATAAACAAAAAAGTTGCAGAACTGATCATATTATTCAGAATAATATATGGTGTTATATGTTGTTCTTTGCCGCTATAAGCAAATAATTTCGAAATATGTATTCAAACACGTAATAATGCTCTGTTTAGTACCATATCATCCCTGTAACTATGGGTGACCAGACTCATGCAACTCTTCAAAGAAATTGATAACTATGATTATTGCTTAACTGGTGTGAACTTGAAATCTTTTTGTTTCATTGATCAAGTCTATTATGTCTCTTGTATTTCAAATACAATTCTGTTCTGTTTGTTATTTATCAAAAATTTGACCACATCTATTGTTTTTCACCTAAATTTCCTCAGTTTCATTTAGCATAGTTTTATATTCAATAACTATAGTAGTGATATGATTGAAATTGTAAAAGAGGGGTTTTTCCGTCTCCTAAATTATAATCAAATAAATTAATAATTTAAAATCACCTTAGGCCATTTTCTCCGATTATTTTGATTGTAGATTAAACTATTTATTTTCAACATCTGTAGAGACTTATTTATCACCTTTCTATGGTGTATCCAAAATAATTCCTGATTGCTTCTACAATTTGATTTCAGGGATTCATACTCTTCGCTGAACATCTTATTAACAAAGACATAAATTTCACTTATGCTTTTTATGTAGTAAATATACAAATAATTCTTTGTACAATAGTACACAAACTAATATTCTTGAAAAAAAGGTAAATATGTTTCAATACAGATTTCGAAGTAGTTGCTAAAAACACTTTTACCTGGTAATTTCTATTTTGAAGGAAGGGTAAAATAATCAATAATTTAACAAAAACTTAAACAAACATTTATTTAGTACAGAAATTGATTAAGTATATATATATTGCACATAGGATGTACGCTACAAACATATCCATGAAGCAACCATAATTTTGTATTTTGTACTGAACAGTATGTAACAACATGATACAAGTAGGTAACCCTAACAATAGTAATACTAGGAATACGTAAAAGTAACATAACATATTGAAAAAAATCATCACAATTCTACACTGACAGCACCTTTTGAAAGAAAATATTTGCGTCTAGAGAATTTGTTTTACTGCAGTTGATATGAATTCAATTTCTTTTGTATGACCTCGCATTAAGGATTATTATCAATCAAAATTTATGTACAAGTTATGATGTACCTACTAGTCAGTATGCTGCATCATATTAGATCAGTATTGAAAAATAAAATAAAATTACGAATAAATCAATTTTCATTAAAGTCTATTTCATATAAATTATACATAAAAGTATGGATAATGACACTGTTCAAATTGAATAATACTAAATAACATGTATCATAATATATGTACATTCTTATAAACATAATACTAGATATACTCGAATATACTACAATATTTGCATGAAATTGTTATGAAATGAAGTCCAACTAATGTTCACTCATGTTATTTTGTATTATTTTCTTTGGTTTCAAAATAGTTGAACGAATGGTATCGTAAAACGCCCACTACAATCTTGCATCTCAAAAATACATTAGATAACTCAAGCTGTGTGAAAGAAAGTGGCACATCATGTTGAAAATCAATATTAATAAATAAATGTCTCGAGTCTAATAAAATACTTCACTATGACGGGGGGTACCAATTCGTTGGAGTATTAGGAGTATTTTTACTCGAATGGTACAGGTGGAACCCCGTTCCCGCCGAACCGTGGTGATAAAATTGGGGTTGATCAACATATGAATACACTTGTGGCTTCAAAGGTAGCGGACTGTCCGGGTATTGGTGTCGCAGGACATCTTGATATGGCACTGTCGAATCGAAAGCGACACCGCCGTGAAGCTGCTGGTGCTTATCGCGAGGAGACACGCTTGAGGGAGGTGTCATGGCTGAGTGATAGTCCATATAATAACTAGTTGGATAATTCTGATGTTGCGAAAGTAAGAACTGATGTTCACTGTAAGAAGAAGAACCTTCGCTACCGGGAGGAGTCGGCAGTGCACCCACACCCACTTGATTGTCACTAGGATAGTACCCGGGAGAACTACCAGACCTACTACTACCACTCGAAATACCTTGTACATTCGCCCGAATCACGCTTTCTCTGTTGGCGTAAAGCTGCCTGAGTAGGGCTGAGGCCGGTAGAGGCCCCTGCTGCTGCAGCTGCTGATGGTGCGCCCCGATCCACTGAATGGTCGTTCTTTGCTGCTGCTTCAGCAGCGCGTCCGTACTGAAGTCCGTGGGCTGGTGTATCGGCGACTTGCAAGCCGGTAAATGCTTCGACATGGCGTTCTCTAAATCCTTCACCGACGTTACGCTGCTCACCGCGTCCTCCAGCTTCTTGGGGCTCGTCTCCGAGGAGTCCGAGGCTATCGGGTGAGTACCGTTGGTGGAATGGCAGGAAGAAGCTGGACTAATCGCAGAGTTGCGCAACGGGGTGATCGGCTCGTCCTCTTCGTTCTCGTCCGACGACGTGTTTTTCCTCTTTGAAGCTCTGCGCATTGGAAACGTCTTACGCTGGTCTTTCACAATGGGCGTAGCTTGGAGCTGAGCTACGAGATCGAGGCGGTGGTTGCGCAGATCAACGGTATCCTTGGGAGCGGTTGTGTCGTTCTCGGGAGCGCTGCCTTCGCAGGTGACGTCCTCTCGGCTGGTGTCCTGTTGGGCTGGATTCGGTGGGCCTGCGCCGTTCAGGTCATCTGGCCACAGAATCAGTTAGAAACTATATAATACTAGCATTGGTGGTACGTCAACGTACCTCCACGTTCGGTGTCTGGCGATCCATTCTCTGGGTCGTTGCTGCCTGCGTCCTCTCTCTTCACAACGTGGTTGGGGTCGTCCATCTGGCAACAGTCCATCACTATGTTCTCATACTCTCGCCCGCTGCAACAGAGATGACAGAGATTTGAAAACAATAAAATCTAAAATTGAAAAATCACTGTTGAAATTTCAAATGGCTACCAAAACCGTGATAAAAACTGTCGAGGTAATTAAATATAAGATGGGGATAAACACACCTATTTTTAGTGCCCGACATAATGATATATCTTTTCATACAGTATCAGAAGCAGTATTGACACTATTTCATTTCAGTATTTTAATGTCGAGGTTCAAAGCAGAATAATTAGAAAACATATAGTGAGTTTTTAGAGGAGCTTCTTGAGTCACATTTCGTCAATTTCTCTTTCGATTAGGACGAAGACTTAACTTGATAAAGAACACCTTACGTTATATTTACCTTACATTGATATTAATTTGGTATTGGTCAGTAAAAGTCAAGTAATTCTTTTGCTTTCTAATACCATAAATATATACTCACTCGAGAGATAAACGAACAGGTTTCATTTTATAAAGTTTATGAATTTCGTTAACACAAATACAACGATGGCATGATGGTATTTACATTCATAAAAGTCATTCTATAAAAACACAGTCACCAATTATTGAAAAATAATAAGTAAATGTATTATAAATTCGCTTTCAAATGGCTAAAACAAATATTTCAAAAAATAAGGAGGAATAAAAGTGGACTTGCTAACCAATATGTTAAATATTTTTAGTAATAATGCCTTCATGGTAGATCAAAATGTATCCAATATGTGAAAAATTGTCTAACCATGGGAGTAGTCACATTTAGGTAAATAATCACATTGAAAGAATATCTAATAAATCGGTAATTATACTTCGTAAGATACCTGAAATTAGATCCTGTCATTTCTTAGGGCTATCAGGATATTCTTGCAGTGTGAGACAGGTACTTTTGAAATGTCTTTTTTGAAAGTTTAAGGGTACTCTATTAGGGATTTGAATCAGAATTGCTTTAGTTTAAATTTATCAAATTTGTACCAAGACATTTTAGAGTTAAAAATTATGGTCTTTCTTGGAAAAAATAATGAGTAAAAGATTTTGGAATAGAGAAAAAATGAAATGTGGGAGATGAGATGTCTTCCCAAATGAATACCTGATTTTTTCAAACTCTTGGATCTGGATCCGAACAAATGTTGAGAGAGATCGTTACGATTTAGGTAGAATTAAATATTAGTGATGAACGCAATATTGGACCATTTCAAAAAAATGTACAGAACGGCCTCTCAGTTGTTCCGACACCACAGCACTTAATATTTTCGAAAGAGGCCATTGAAGAAACTAAAAACTTGAAACTCAAGCAGACCAGATCCACATTTAAAAAAAGCAAGGGTCGTGGTAGAAATTTGAAACATATCTGGTGATATTTCTCAAGCCAAAGATATCAGTTCTTGCGCAACGTTCATACTAATAGACTTCAGTAAGGATTTCCATAGAATCAGAATGATATTTTATTAAGGATCTTGAAATCCTGTGGCGTATGTGCAAATCATATCTAACAGGATGTTCTCATGTGGTCAAAATATAACATGAAAACCTGATTTTATTTATTCAAATTCCACGATACATTTCACTGATTCATAGATATTAATAACTTGAAATATATTACTGTAGAACAATTATCCGAGGTCAATACTTGGTCCTCAGCAGTCAGCTGCCAAAATTTCAGGATATCTGTGTTATTATTATGTATGCATATAATACCCAACTTTGGAACTAGTTTATTTTAACGAAATGAATGAAAACACTTTTTGTCTAATTACCACTCGTCGTATAAATAAAATTAACTAGTGGTTATTAGACAAAAGTGTTTTATTCATTTCATTAATGGGATCATGAATTACCACAAAATTAACAAGTCATCATTCACACATATTACTCGTTTATCCCAAATCATTATGATTTCCAGAACATATGTTTACAAAGAGCTTATGCTGCAATGAGCTTATTATAACTTGGACTTTATAAAACTATGTCGATACCTACTGATGAAACTTTTTCTCAGAGACGATTTTTACTAACAAGAATTTGAAATGGCGATGAACTCATCCTTGTCACCGATTCTGAGTAACATTTCCATAGAACATTTTGACAAAACATGAATCACTACTTAGAATGGTTCAATATATGCTGGAGATATGTTGAAAATGTATACGCTATCTGTGATCATACCTTAAATGGCATCAACTCTTTTTCAAATTATTTGAAAACAAGAGAACCAACCCACAATAAAATTTAAGGTAGAAAGGGAAGTGCATAATCAACTTCTTTTTTTGATGTGATGATCAAAAATTTGGGTAAATATTCTAGGTACGGGTATTTATCAAAAGAAAAACTCATACTAATATATATATTCACTATACATCTAATGATAACGCTGATGTCAAAAATGGTACAGTCAGATGTTTATGGTAAGGTTGAGACAGTGATATGATGTAAGAATAACTTGTAGAACTTCCAACATATTGAGATATCTTTTGACACGAATTTATGAAAAGACAAGTTACTGACTAAGTTGCTGACGCAGTGACTTTTCGGGGTGAACTTTTCAGTATGAGCTTTATTACACCACTTCAGCAAATTCTCCACTGATTTAACTTTATTAATTTTTCAGATCGTTGTAGGTTGTAGTCCCACAGAAGGTACTAAACAGTTGTTGGACTACAATAGGGATGAACCACGATGTCTAACAGGCCTTTTTACGGGTCACGGTCAGGTCAGGAACTGTCGGAAGACAGTGTGTGTCGTCTTTGTTTGGAAAATTATGAAACAGCAGAGCACATACATTGTGCCTGCCTCACTGCGGGCCGAATCAGGTTTTCAGAGTTCGGCAGAGCCGTACTCTTACCATCGGACCTGAAAATTCACTCACCATACAAACGAATCGGCTTCTAGTTAAGAAGCTGGGTTCATTTGGTCGAGTGTGAATAGGTGTTAGCCACAATGAACCCTTGCGGGTTGCGGTGGAAAGTTGAATAGACCCACTCACTTTGGACCTAACCTAACCCAACCCACAAAAAGGAAAGAAACATCGACTCCTCCACAGAGATTATCTGTCAAAGACAGGTACAAGACAAAAAACAAAAAAAGATAAGTTTTCAGAGTATTAGCTCGATTAGATCGCATTCAGTCTAATCATTTCGGAGATATTTTTCATTCGACCGTTCTAAAACTCCTTTTGGAATCCTGAGTCTTACATCCACGTATTCCATTCTGTCCAGAGGCATGGCCTAACCGTTTATACACGACCCCGGGTGAAACATTTTGATAAACGCATAAGACAATCTGAAAGTGAAGGTCATGCGATATTTATCTGGAGTACGATCGAAGGACTAATATTATAAGACCAGTAGCACCCCAAACACGTATGTCGACGTGACACAGCTGTACCGGAATATCGGATGACCTATAGACTAACGTCAGACGACGAATCTCCCTGACTAGCGTACCCAAAGACGCTCACGTAGGGAGGCGCCGTGACGGCAACTAAAACGTACACGGCCTCCAACACGTAGAGCACATTTAAAGTATGAAAGGATAGTTGCACAGAGCTGGATTGTTTTTGAGGTATTTCCGGGAACATTCCGAGTACGTTCATTTAGTGAAATATCAGTTTTCCGTCAATGAAAAACTCCCATACGAATACGAGGTGGCAGCGTCAAGGGCGATGGTGCTATAATGGAGCAACATAGTATCTGGAGTATTGGAAGTAGGTGGAGGAATTTGTGGTATTTTTGGTATTTATATGTTAGGGGAATTTAATTTCAGTATTGTGGAGAACTTTCCCCAAAAACTTTTGTGCCACCCGTTACAATGAACCTCTAACAACTGTAACCTAGAAATATTACTACTCTATAAGCTATTCGTTGAACAAGAGTGGTTGAAAGAGGTCAGGAATAAAAAAAAAACTACAGAAAATTTATTTCTGCCAATGTCGACCAGTTATTAGGTGATCTTCAGGACAATAAAAATGTGTGTGATACATAAAATGAAATATCACAAAACGAACGTAAAACCACGATGATACAATAAAAACTAATTATTAAATTAGAATGATTCATATATATGAAAAATTGTGGAAACATTAGGTGAATGCTGTACACAAAAACTTACCGGCAATTTGTACTTGAGGATTATGTGGATATCTTGATAATTCCGGAAAATATCTGATGTTGCATTGAATTAAATGATATATACTATAAATTTTGTTTTTCATGCTTTCACAACTGAGGAGGTGGAAAAATGGTAGGGGAAAAGAAAAGAAAACGAATGATGGTTAAATATGTACGATATTCCATTATGTTTTTGAAATCGAACTAATCAAATTATAATAGACGTCTGAGAATTACTTTTTGTCAATTGCATTTTTATGTTGTTTTGGGGAAGTTATGTTCGTGATTATCGCAAAATTAGGAGGGGGTTATATACTTCTTTTATGTTCCGATAAACGGGTTTTTAAATATCTACCGGTCTATCCGATGTAGAGGCTGTTGCATTCTGCGCATTGTATTTTGCAGACAACGCCGCTTTGTAGTTCTCTGGGTTTCTATGCTTTTGAGGTGAAAACATATTTCATTTAATATATTCTCTGAAATTAGATGAAAATAAATTCAAACTCCTGTATTTTTGTAGGAATCAAGCCTTAAAAAAAGTCTGATTGTCTGATTCCGGTGACCTTCAATAATGATATTACTATAATAAACAGTCTGACAAAATTAAGTATGCCAGTGCTTCTCTCATTTATTGCATACCACTTGATAATTCTAGGAAAATTTAAAAAACTATCAACAGATAGAAAAAAATCTGTCAACTGACAGTTGAATGTAAATTTGCCAATGAAAGTTTTGAAATCATGCCAATTGACACTTTTCAAATATTTCAATGGACAATGAGTTAATGATCAAGTTTTATCGAAAGTATCCAGAGTCCATTGGAGAATCAATGGCAGATACCTGAAAATTTTTACTTTTTCAGGCTGAAACGTGAAATGTATTTTGAATTCATTCAACTTATTTGAAAAAAGATGCCGAAAATCCCAATGATTGATTGGGCTTCCACTGGCTAAATGTCAGAAAAATTTCTTCGATCTGCGAGGTAAGTACTTATAGAGAGGCCTCATTGAACATTTTAAATGAATGTAACTTTTCCAAATAATTCCTGAAAGCTTATGAAAATAAATGAAATTCACATGATGTAATATTGAACTTCTATTACATTGTTTCAGAAATGTCCGTTCAAGATCAATAAAACATATCGGTGAAGATATAAAAATAGATAGAGAAATATAATTTTATATCACCACCGGTTTGAAATATGGATAAACGGTAAATGCATCAGAATCGACTATAACTTCACATATGATAGATTGCGGAATTTATATGTAGGTATTACTTGAGGTTAAGATGCTTTTGAAACTAGGTAGAATGGGAATCCGAAAAATGAATTCCTGTTAGTCTATTATTGCCAATATTTCACTCCCAACGATCCGCAAGGTATTATTTCCAGTGCAGTCTCGTCCCTGGCGATAAAAAAGTTCGTTAGACGAACCCACGAGGGAATTCAGAGTTAGATGAGAAAATTGCGAAATGCGAAACTGCTCATTACAATTGTAATAAAATTCAGACAATTAATCCGTTTTGGGTCATTTCTTTTCACTAGAACCGTATGCCTAGTCAGCTCTGCTTTGTTCTCGAAAGTTTAGTTTTGCAAGATGGCCAATAAGATGCAGCTAATTAACTCACGTGACATTAAGATTTACTTCCTGTGATATGCAATATAAACTGAAAATACTCTAGGACTTCCCTGAATGCCAATGAAAGATTGTGAATATTATAGAAATTAACCATAAGTTTGAGAATGAATTCGGCTTTTGGATTTTTAGGATCAGTTATTTTCAGATTTTCCTCAATTTAACATATGCGTTTCGAAAGGCGAGAGGTCATTGTAGAAAGGTCCACAGGTTGGGTTTATTCGAACATATCATTTTATGGTCAATTTCAATGATGAATTTTGTGAAAATAACGAATTAATCGTCACAATAACCTGATTAAAAGACTCCTGTCATCCTAGTTGTGAATTACATCAGTTTAGATAATGTTTCGTTCTTGACACTATATATAATAATTCCAGTACCTTTTATATATAAATGCAGAATTTTTCAAATAAGATAATTACTTTGTTATAATTTTGACATGATAAATTCATATTCATGAATATTAGTAATTAACGAGGGAACCACCACCCAGAAGTCAATGGAATTCTAGTTGAATTTCTTTAGAGGAACGCTCTAAAATTCTATTGAACTCGAATTTGACTGATAACTTTACGTTTGTAGTTTCATTTTATCTTGTTAGAAATCAAAGGTTACCTCTATTTAAAGTGAATTTATAGTATGTTTATACCTGTCAACGAATAGATATATTATTTTAGAGACACCCGGGGGTAGGTAGTTGGAAAGTAAATTGACAAGGTAACTTTCATCTTTCATGAACTTGAATTATATAAAGTAACTCCTTTTTTTTAGAATTTATGTAAATGAATTTATCTTCAAAAAATCAAATTATGTTTCAATTCATATATGATAGTTCGTTTAGCTTACTTTCTGTTAAGATGAATAAAGCTATACAGACTCACGATCACATCACGAAAGATGGTAAATCAGGACAATTCATCTTGAAACATTTCATACATGTGGAATGTGGATACAAGTGTATAAAACATTTTTTGGAATGGCCATAAAATCTAGTATATCATTCCATTGAATGTTATTGAAGAAAGCTCAAAACATAATATGTGATACCATTTCCACCACGTATAGCAAGAAAAAAAATAAACAACAAAACATTTTTTGTAATCAAAGTCCACGGAATTTGAAGTGAAAGCATTGACATTTTGTTGACTTTCACCTACACAACACCTAAAATAAATGGATTTGTCATAATAAAAGTTTGTAAAAATAGTGAGAGCTTTGAGGGAATGAATGAGAAAGATAAAAACAACTATTTCCCATTAAAAGTAACTGAAAATTCTATAAAAATTTGTCATCCACAAATGTGTTCATTCTTAGCCGAAATCCAATTTAACCAACATTTTTGACAAGTTTCTTAGCTGTATTTTGACTTCTTATATATTTTCATTCAAAATCTCAAAATCTTATTCTAATTCAACTTTGAGACCACCATTACCTCCAGATTCAAAACCGATTGAGAACTGATAGGACATGATTCAAAGACGCATTTCATGCCGAATGAGACCAATATTCAGGGCAGAGTGTCAATGGGTTACCAAGAATCAATTAAGAAATTAAATATCAGTGGAAAAATGCAAGAGAAAATAAATGAATTCAACACAGAACAAATGTAAAAGAATATTACCAGTTTATTCACCTTAAAGACTTTCTGCCCTAAAATGAACTTTGAATAATCGATTCCTGCAAAAAGAAGTGAAAAATATTGAATAACATGTTAAAAAAACTATGTTTTTCTTCAACAAAACAGCTTTCGAGGGATGTTCAAAAAGTAATGAAGAAAATTACCCGACTGGGTATATGTGAAGGTAATACTGCATACCATCTTGTGATCAATTCTTTCAGTAATTCCAACTGAGAGTTTCCAGATTCCATGTTAGAAATCACACGTTAAAAGATAAGACCTCGTTAGTCCTTAGCTCGCACAAGTTTCTCAACTTCTGAGAGTAGTTGTTCGTATGGGGGTGACAGCTGATTAACGGAAAAACAGATTTTAAACAGATTTTTGTAACGGGTAGACGTATGTGATGATTCTTGTAACGTTTGTTAGATATCCGTCCACCATTCCAACAAGTGTAAAAGTTGGAGCAATGTGACGTTTTCAGTCATGACAGACCGATAAAATACATAAGAATTAATAACTTTGGTATGAACCAGGTGAGTTTCAACAAGAGGTATTATTCGTTCAAGGATGATAGAGAGAGTAATCACAGTGTGGATCGATTTTCAGAGACTCGCTCCCAGATTACCTACTAAGAATACAGATGACATTATCATCCGTAAAGAACGATTTCAATTGGAAGAATTAGAGATGGACTTGGCCATGCGACGAAAATTTACTGAGTCACAACACTGCGGACACAATGTTCAACATGAACTGAAGAACCCATCCCATTATATCATTTTCTTTCCAATAACTATAATTCCCATTCATAAAGAAAAATCGATGAAAAAAAGTCTTACCTTATCACATAATTTACACAAATAATGTTTTGTTCTTCGGCATTTTTTGAGTTACAGACTACTGTTGCACAGGTCTGAACCCAAGTGAATCCTCCATTTTTGTTCATTATCCTATAGTAGTGAGTAAGGACCTGGCCTTTATTTATTACTGCGAAAGAAAATATTATTAAGAAACATTATTTTAGTATTACGAGAATAACGCAAACAATTGTGGGAGGTGCAATGGGGGCTGGAAAAATACTTCAATAAATTCTGTTCAAGCTTTCAAAGTGGTTCTCACAGTTGAGCTATTTCACAGTGGAAGTTTATCTAATTTAGTTTCCCCAAAAATTAACTTTCAAAATCTGATTTTTGAAAAAAGTAGGGGGGGTTGAGAGATTCAGAACACCCATACACTGCACCTCCGTGATCTACCACCCATTAACTTACAGTCGACGTGACATTTTCTCAGTTTGGCAGCATCTTCTCCATGGCACAAAGAATATAAATTTCTACCAGTCAGTTCTTCAGGTGTGTAATCTAGGAGCTCTATAACCCGAGGTTCGCAATGTGCTATTTTGAAATCGAAATTTATTCTAGTAACGAACATATCGGTTTCTAACCGGATTTCATGTACGCTGGGCGGGGGCAGTGCAATTGCTAGAGCCACCATCCCTAGGAGAGGGGGCTGCGACTTTCGAGAATGTGAAAAGGTGTACTGAGGCCGCAACCTGCTCAGCATTAATACAACCTACAAAATAACACGAGTCACAAAAAGTAGAAAAGTTCAGTTGTGCTGATTATAGCAAGCAGAAAAGACGAAGATTCTCATTCGTCACAGATCATGAAATCAACAATGATGTTGGATACACATAGTGAGATTAAAATTCGTTTCAAAGAACATACTGCACATATCAGACATGGTGTTCAGAACTGTCAGTTCAACCAGCTATAATGGTGCGGATACCACCCATAGCAGGTAAATTATACTTCTGCTTACCCTATATCCCGATGATTTGAAATGGCATCCTCTTTTCGTTAAAGTCGATTTCATCCTGACGCAAAACGCCCTGTCGAGGCCTTTGTAAGGTGGATTGGCTCCGAGCGTCATTTGCGTGGACACTGTAAAAAAAGAAGAAGAAATTGTTAATGTCGCGGTTGACTGATTACCAGACATTGGAAATAATCAGTTTAATGACTTGCTAGTGGTTTGCGAATGTGTGAGTTCGACTATGTCATTAGATAAATCGAATTGTTGCGGTATTTTGAAAGATCATCGAGAGAGAAATGCGCGATGTGTTTTTGTTTGGTGAAGGGAATGAGTAGGTATTGCCGACTTTGAATAACGTACGCTGCTAATACATTTCAGTAATTGATCCTTTCAATTTTCTTAACGTTATAATCATATAATCATAACTTAGTGCATGTTTCCTTTCGTACAGTCAGTGGGTGTTGAAAGTTGTCGTTTTTGTAATAAAGTGCCGAAGTTTTTCTTGAATGTTCTGCTTTTGTATGCTGAATATTCATTTCAAGAGTACTGCTTTGTAGAAGGTCGGATTCGCAACGAAAAACGAAAGCAAAACCACAAAATATTAGAGTTTTTGTTTAAACTCAAAAATTATGCTTCTTAAAAAATTATACTCTAAAATAGAGTAGACAAAATGTCCTATAGAACACTTTGGACAATTTTGATCCCCTGACTAGGATTTTCGGCGCTAGAGTGCTCTAAAAAGTAAAAAGTGATATTTTTATTTCTTCAGCTCCTCTACCACTCAGAAAGTGCAATGGAGAAGACTATCTACATATGTTTTTATCCATACAATATGCGGATGTAACTAATGTCCACGTTATTCGATAAAGCCAGGATACAGTTTTCAAGATGTTTTAAAAAAATCTGGATTCATTGATCATTCTGTCCAACGAAAGAGAATAACAGCTGCTGGAGAAAACATTTTAATTGCCTTTATGGTGGTAACTATATACGAGTCCACAATACTCAACAAGCTGTGGTAGAAGCAACATGTGACAGCAAAACTTCATCAAACATGATTCCCACTGAAAATGCCCCAGTTCAACAACACGGTTTCAGAGTTTTCCATGTGGTGAATATTTGGATCCATTATATTATCAAACTAAGATCATCCTCAATAACAACTAGGTACAGAAATTGCAGGTGGAAGATATTTTTCTGTTTCACTATTTCATCAATTATATTGTCTATAAAAAATTTATTTTGGTTTTAATGCCTTTTGCTAACTAGACACTTGTATTTTGACTGAGTAGATTTTACGCGTAACGATTCAGAAAACAAAAATAACTTCAATTGAATTGATACATCTAAGGAATATTCACATTATTACAATTTTTCATAATGATTATCGTTTTATAAAAAATTTTTTGTGCGGATTCTGGTGAAAGCAACAAATAAATAAGAAAATAAGTCCTTGAATGTTTTTGACTGCAATATTTTCGAGATTGAAATGTTTCCAAATGTTAATATTATAAAGAAATTCATTAGAAAGTATGGCGTTGAGGGCGTATTGTTTTTGCAGTTCTGAAAGTGGAATGAAAATATTGCCTTTTCATCGTCCTTTTTCACTTTAGTTTGATCTTTCGCTATCAACGAAGCGACACATGCAATATAATGTAAATGGAATTTCCTTTTCATTGAAAATTGCCTCACAAAAACCCTCAAATGGGCATTAACAGATAATATAACAATAAATAAAATGTATCAATTTGGGTGTTCTGAATAGCCCTAACAGGTTATGAACCATAGAGTTGTATGATTCCGACAGGAAACTGCGGTTTTAACATGCAGAGAGTGGCTTGTGTACGTGGTCAATTGTTATTCCGTGTTGATGCTACGTGTCACGCCCAGGAATGCTGCAGCAACCATATTCAGTACGTTTCTTTGCTCTTTCTTCTATTCATCAATATAAACACTACCGAAATATAAGGGATTACGGGCTGCGTTCCGACCACGATTTTTACGAGGAAAATGAAACAGACAACTCTTTTCCGCGTCGAGGTCGATCCGCTGATGGGCGGTAGATGGCGCTCGGTGTTACGAATGGTTGAGAAACATCAGGCTGTGTTCCGAGTTTTTAACAGAAGCTTTTGAGAGAAGATTCACACCCACTGCTCTAAAATAGTTCCAAATAAACTGATGCAGAAGCGAAGTGGTGAAAATGAATAATTGAATTTTTGTGAACATTAAACAATAACGAATGGTAAGAGATCCAAAGATGCAATTTCAGTTCCCGAGATAACCCAAAAACTTATCAGAAAAATTATTATAGACACTTGGTATCTCACCTGGAACATTGGTCAACAAAAGAAAGTTGTTTTGGTCCCGATTAAGAATGAGTTTTTCCTTGTCACCCAACTGACTGTCGGACTGACGGTGATGAGGATTTTGCACTAGAAGAAGACAGAAAAGATCAGAAGATTCTGGTTAAAATGACACTTACGGTTATTCATCGGACTGAAATAGACTTGGTTAAGCTGAGGACGAAATAGAAGAATTCACATGAAAGGGTTCCGTTTCAAAATGATATTTGTTGGGAAATTTTACTTAAGAAACCTAGTATGTAGTATTATTTATGTTTTCAGTGATCTCTACTTTAAATGGAGCCACTTCCTTATCTCTGTTGTTGAAAATACGATTTCGACCAATTTTAGATAGATGGTAGACATTCCAAAATTTTGGATAATAAATAATAATTGAGGGCCAATTGAAATATCAATATGGATTTTCTAATTGGTTACAGCATTGCCAAAACCTTTTTCAAACCAAATATCATTAGATAAAAGAAATTATTTGAAAACGAAAAAACATGACTAATCTTTTGCGAAAAAAAAAAATGTTTAGAATGCCGATTTCAACTCCTTTCATACTTGGTTTTCGTGATTTTTTAAATATCTATATATTTTATACAAAAGGGAAAGGCTGAATCTGAATATGATATCTATTTTTATTTCATAGTGACCCCTAATATAATGTTTTCAAAATTGTTCGTAATCGAATATTCGACAACAGATATATGGGGATCACTCCAGTAAATGTTGGACATACTGTATACAACCATGAACCAATACTTCTTCATGGAGACCGTAAAATAGTTGCGGTTGCCGATATGATATTGACACAGCTCTATTGTATCTTCTATCAAATGTTATACTGAGAGGTATAGTAAGAGTGAATCCAGTTCATTCGATGATATTTTTTCCAAAATAAGAGACAATCAACACTATATCAAGTGCATGGTGCAAGACGAATGAACGGTTGATAAATCACTCAAAAACAAAACGGTTTCAGTTACTGATTATATTGTAGATCCAAAAAAACAATGAAAGTAATGCGAACAACACGTATAACAGCTAAAATCCTAAAACCTAAACAGAAGAGCCTTCTACTTTTATACCCATGAAACAGGGATTTCAAATCATTTTGTATCATATTAGACAATGTGAGTCCGAAGTAGATAATGAAATTCAAACAAAGGTAACTTTTTTTTTCGAAAATTCATCTCACAATCAGATAATGTTATAACATTCACGTGGCGAAAAAGTAATCATTATTGATATAGGATTCTCAGTCTCCTTGTGTCCAACATAGACGCGCAGCAATTTTTTTGGAACCAATAGCATCAATTTCTGTAGTCTTAAGCCTCTCATGGTTATTATATTCCAAAAACCATTTTTTGCCAATTAAACAGATTAGTTTGAAGTATTTATTAATATGTTAAATAATTCAAATGTTTGTGAGCTACTTCCTAAATTAAAATTTTTGGCAAAGCGCGGACTTTAGTGCTAGTGAAATAATAAATAACCAGTAGACAGTAACAATCACCACCAAAGGTTGTAAACAATTTGATCATTCACTAGTATGTAAAACCAATACATTCTGGAATATCAAAAGTATAACGGAAATTCGACAGTTCCATTAACGCTAACGGTTGATACCCTTCATTTCTTGGATAATTTTCCCCAATTCACAAAAACGTTGAGAAAGTTGAAGGCTAGGTAGCGGTTATGGAGTTTTACATCAAGTAAAGGCACTACTTGCTTCATCGATTGAAATGAACATAAATCGGTGCTCATATTTCACATAAATCCTAAAATTTGGATTTTGAAACAAAGTTATTTGAGTTTAGCTTGAGGGGTTTGTTCTACCATTCAACCACTATTTGAACGTTGGTTGTGTTTCTAGGTATGACAATAATAACTTGTAACTCTTCAAATTTAAAAATTAGAATTGTAATTGTTGATGATATAAAGTAATTCGAGAAATTATTCCTATGATAAAAAGGTCTCTTTACCTTGAAGTCTATAAGAAACTGATCACTAAGCTAAATACGGACCTGCAAGTCAAACTCATTGAATGAATGTTGATCAGTCAAATGCACATCACTAAAATGTGACAATTACAAGTACATGCCTTTCTCACATTCAGTAGAAAAAGTTAAAGAAAACAGCAAGAAAATTAGCTCTGATAAAACAATCTAGATTAAGAGAGTACATTCTCTTCTGCATCTGCATAAATAATATGGTAACGAAATTACCCAAGACATCAAAAAACTTCCTATAGTCGTTTATTTCTTTTATTATGATCAAGTCAAAAAGTCAAGCCGGGGCCTTGTTCACGTTTTTAATTTGAGTCAGGTAGCCCAGTCATACAAGACTAAAACTATAACGAGCCTTATCCAGGATGTCATCTGAATGAATTGTTTGTCTCATGAGTACCAACTTATTACATTTCATTCATGATGTATGCTGAATCCGTAGAAAAAAAGACGCCATGTTAGGTGATTCATGAAAGAGAACATAACATTTCTCACGATGCTTTGGGAACCTATTTTATCGAATAGCACTTTGTTTTGTATTGAATCTCAAATAATTAAGAACCCACACACTTCTTGAGACTTGAATCAACTTTAAATCCGTGGAATAATAATAATAACAACGATAATAATGATAATAGTATTCTTTACTATTTCCATAACTTTTATATACATTTTGGTAATAATTTATTTCCATTACATGGAAACAGAAGGCGGAGGTAGGGAAAAGTTGCCAAATTTTGAGCTTATCCAAAAAGTCGGGAAATTACGATTAATGAAGTTACCGCCATAAGATGCTAGCGGGTGATTGTTTTTCTCGGTTGATATGAACAATTAAATTTGGTGATGATTTCTAGGAGAAGAAACATCAAATTGAAAATCTGAGAAGGCTTTCATCTACACCTTGAAAAGCGGCCATGAGAAAGGGTTTTTGGTTTTTTAATATATTCTTAACATCATCTTAATAACATCATAATCAAAGCGAAATTGACGAATTTCGGTTCTTTTTGGAAAGCTCCGGAACTAATTGAAATTTAATTTCAAATCGTTGTTTTAATATGGTCTAAAATGGAAAGCTTTTTTTTCATCGACTTTCTATATCTCACAGTTTTTGATTTTCCCATTCCAGCCCTTCTTATCTTACACACTGTAAATACAAACACAAGAACTGACTCATCAATTGGAGATGTAACTTATTCAACTTTAAATTCCAGTGTTATCAATTATATTAGTTCTACCGATTAGTTAATCATTTCAGTACAAATTGAACATTGGTAAAATTTTTGAATTCAAACATAATGATGTTTCAACTTTGATATTGGTCAGGAACAATTTTTTCCAAACGATTTTAAAATCATGTAAATCGTTGAATAGAAAAGCCAAATCAACATTCGTGGACTAGAGTTCATAGTGAGTTCAGTCATGATTATGAAGTAATGAATTTGAAAAAATGTATAAAAATTGACTCAGAATGCCCAGAAATCAATAAAGTCAAAAGTTCAGAACAACTATTCGATGACAAATCAGAATAAGTTATAGTTCCAATAATTTTGTTGTTGATTATTCACTGATTACGAGTAAAATCTAAAGTACGTTTTTGGTCACCTCAATATGTAATTTTTTTTGTTTTTTTGTCAGAGTGGCGAAATGGGCGCGGAAGCCAGACTACCCGTTTTTGGCTCTATTTTCAGGGCTCTGTAAAAATTATAAATAATTAAGATACAGTTTC